ATCTTCACCTTGTCCCTGATAGAACTATAAAGCCTTTTCTGCTATCCTTAACATTGTTTTGGACTTTCCTTTGGAGAGATGGGGTCAGAAGGATATTCCACTTGGTCCTACAAAAGTGATTAAGAGCAAGGAGCCCAACAGTTTTGTGACTTCAGATTGTCTGTGCTCTGGTTTCCTCATCTATAACACGGGCTGTCAATGAAATCCACCCCAAAGAGCTGCTGGCTTCTAGCATGAAAAGCACTTAGAACCGTGCCGACATGTAGAGGGTGCTCGGTCATGGTAAGATGTTGTCAGTAGTGGCTGGCTTTCCACGTGGCCTCCCTTTAGGCTGCAATGCCATTTCTCGTCAGCATCCACGTATAGCTCTGTATTTCTGAGAAACCCCTGTTCCTGCCCTGTTCCTGCCCTGTTCCTGCCCTGTGGCCTTTCAACACACGCCCATTGGTGCCTTCAGAACCCCGCCTCTGTGCCACCTCCCCTTTCGGAGTCTCTGGAAGCCATACCTAGGACTTTCTCTGTCCTTTTAGAATCTGCTTCCCTGAAGTCTAGGGTAAACATCAGGCTTTGACCAGGACCCGTGGGCCGATTTCCTACACATCCTAATCTAAACCATCCTCACCCTGCTGACTTGACGCCATGCAGAAGGGTGGACGCTGCCTGCCCAGGGGATGGGAGACACTCAAGAAACACGAGTTTGCTTTCCTTCACCGAGGCCCCTTGTCAGAAAGAGCTGGGCCCAGAGGCAGGAGGTGGCCCTCTGAGGGTCCAAGTGTTCTTTCACATGGGAATGACTAACCAGATGCCTGCTCTTTACTGAGCAGGACTAAACAATACAGAATCTTTCAGGTCTCCATCTATGGAACAGAGCTCAAGCTGTTGTTTGCTGAAGGATTTTTGTGTGCCTCTTAAAGGACGCCCTGTGTCACAGGCGGGGCAGCCCTGCCGACCTGGTGAAGTCACACACCCAGACACGTGTCCAAAGCCCTCAGATGCACTGGGCCTGAGCACGACACTCTCGTACCTGAGACCCTTTACACCCAGTGCTCTGGCCACTAAACATTTGTAACTTTGAACAAAATGATAATGGTAATGGTTCTTAGGAGATTTGGTGCTCCATTCAGAACACTCACCATCTAAACTCTATCACGTGTACTCAGCACTTCAGAATTTCCAGAACAACTCCACTCCTATTCATTCATTTTGTCCTCACAGCCCAGGCAGAAAGGCCTCCGGGGCTCTGATGAGTAACTGGAGAGGGGCAGTGGCTGCCAAGACCAGCCTGCAGTCAGTGGCAGATCAGGGGCAAAACTCAGTCCAATGTGAAACCCAAAGTCTTGAGTTGCTAAAACCAAAGGGGCATATACTCAAAATAATTGAAAGCAGGGACTCAGATATTTGCACACCCACGTGTGCATTCGTGATAACCAAAAGGTAGAAGCAACCCTAGTGTCCATCCACTGACAGATGAATAAACAAAATGTGGTTCCACACAAAGAATATTATTCAGCTTTAAAGGGCAGGAAATTCTGACATGTGCTACAACATGCATGAACCTTGAGGACGTTGTGCTGAGTGACAAAAGCCAGTCACAAAAAGACAAATACCATATGATTCCACTTATATGGGGTCCCAGAGTAGTCAAGCTCATAGACAGAAAGTGGAATGCTGGCTGCCAGGGGCTGGGGAGGGGAATGGGGAGTTTGTGTTTAATGGGGACAGAGTGTCAGTTGGAGAAGACGGAAAGTTCTGGAGATGAACGGTGGTGATGGTGCACAGCAATGTAAATATACTTAATGCCACTGAACTTCACACTTAAAAATGGTTAAGCTGGTCAACATTATGTGTATCTTAGCACAATAAAGAAAAGGGGGAGGATTTGCCATGATTATGGAGTCACTGACACACCTGCAATTTTCCCTTGCCTGATCTTCTGCACCTTGTAGCGGATGGAGGTCCCCACCATCAGGTACACATCGTAAGCGGGATTTAGAAGGATGTTCTCCAAAATCAGCAGCCTGACCTCCGCAGGGCGTACGCTCTTGGATGAAGAGGGCAGGAAAGGCG